GCGGTGCTGCTGGGCTGGGAATTTTGTGTTTTATAGTGTACTTCATCGCCAAAAACTGTTAAAAAATTAAGACAATTCAGGTGATACAAACAAACTATTTAACATCTCATGAAGTGGACAATCTCCTTTTGATCTGTCAAATGGGGCAGAAAGCAAGAGCTTCTATAGGATAAAGAATAAAGAAGAGATAAATAGAAATTATTAGATAGGCCAAGGCCACACAGTCAACCTTGTTCAGGTGAGAAGGCCCAGAGTTGTCTTGGTGTTTGGGGATTGGCTGACTGAATATACTGCGTTTCTGGTCAAGCAGAACATTTACAGGGACATATAAGCTATATAAGTTCAGTTTGATGACATGGCACCCTGGGCAGGAGTGGCTCCATACTGGGCCCAGAAATTTATTTCCACAGTATTTTTACATACCCCTCTAATGGCTTTTTTCCCCCTCCTAACATGCTGTAATTTTTTTTTTTTTTTTTTACTTTGTGTCTCTCTCACTAGGTTGTGCGATTTCTTTTTAAGGCAATGTACTCCTTTTGGCCTGGCTAGTAAAGATTTAAGTCAGGATATTAATATTTGGCTATTCTTTTCCCTCTAACACCAGCACTTCTCAAAATGTGTTCCTTTGAACTGACATCAAAATCAACTAGGATCTTGTTAGAAATGCAAATTATCAAGCCGCTGCTTAGGTCTTTGGAATAAGCATCTCTAGGGGCAGGCCCCAGAATCTGTGTTTTAACAAGATCTCTCATTACTTTTATGTGCCATAAAGTTTGAGAAAACACCATTCAAGACCTCATAGAGTGTGTTTTTTTCTCTTTCAGTTTTGCAAAGAAGCAAAAGTAATCATCTCAACCCCCTTTCTAACTCATTACATTTACTCAAAGGGATGTGTGTTTACTACAGGAGTTGCAACAGGTGACCTGGTGAGGGTTAAAGGCAATTGGAAGAACAGCAGGATCACACGTTTGGCCAATTTTCACCAAGTGGGAAAGGAATGATGCAGCCAGCTATTGGCTTACTTCAGCAGCAGAGGAAACCTAGGATTGGCTGTTACCATCATGGCATTCATTGGCATCATAAGGGTTCTGAACCCAATTTTAATGTGGCGAGATAGTTTCCCACACCAGCTGGGTGTCCTACAATTCAACTTAATTCTGATAGTGTCAGATTCCACCTAGAGATAACATCAAATTCCATGAGTTAAGAGCTCAGTCCTACAAAGACTGCCTCCCCAATACTTCAGATGCCAGTGGCAAGTCCATATTGTCACCTGGGCTTCTGATTTACTGCCCATAGATTGGAGGTTCTAACAACACCCCCTCCTTGGGCTAGAACAATTCACAGAACCCAGAGAAACATTTTACTTAAATATTATTGGTCTATTATAATAGGATATAACTCAGGACCAGCCAGATGGAAGAGATGCATAGGGCAAGTTATGGGAAAAGGAGGGAAGCTTCCATGCCCTCCCTACACACACTATTCTCCCCAAATTACATGCATTCATCAAACAGGAATCTTTTTGAACCCCATCCTTTTTGGGTTTTAATGAAGACTTCATTACAGAGGTATGATTGATTGAATCATTGGTTATTGATGACCAGTTCAACCTCCAGCTCATCCCCTCCCTGGAGGTCAAGGGAGTGGGGATGGAAAGTTCCCGCCCTGTAATCACAGGGCTGGTTCCCTGGCAACCAGCCCCCATCCTTTGGTGCTTTCCATTCACCTGTTACCATAACAAGACACCTTCATGGCTGTTGTCACTTAGGACATTCCAAAGGTGTTAGGAGCTCTGTATCAGAAACGGAAGAAGACCAAATATATATTTCTTGTTATAAATCACAGTATCACACATCACAGGTTGGCATGGGCTAAAGGGTGTAAAGATTAAATGTCATTCAAAGGAGAGAAGAGACTAACAAAGTCACATCTGTATTTTGCCTGAAAGACCTTTAGTGTAATTGGCAGGGACTGAGTGCCTTCACAGTCAACTGCCTCATTGTGGCTCGCTCCAGGCACACGGGCCAGTGTAACTGGGTGAAAGCACACGGGGCTTGGGATCTGGCATCACAGGGTTCACCAAGGGGGCCAAATGACACAACCCAGAAGTTCAGGGATTGATTCTGACCCATGGGATTAACTTTGACCATTTGGAATCCAGAGATGGGAGGGAGCCAGGCTGGTTTATTTCTTCTCCTTCTCTCTTCCTGGACTGCTCTGAGGCTTGGTTTTCCCTTGGAGCCCATCGGGACAATCCCCAAGTTCCTCCTATCCAGTGAAGGACCCCACCAAGCCACCCGCACTGTCTCGTGGGAGGCAGTAGCCAGTGTGGAAATATCCCAGCACTGCCTCCCCTCTTTCCTGCTTCCCTTCATTTCCTTTCCCTACTTCACTTGCTGCTTTTTGCCTTAATACTTTTTTTCTCATCCTACTACCCGAAGGTTTGCACCTCCCAAGTAAACTACTAGCACTTTGTCCCTGCCTCTGGCTCTTTCCTAGCGACCCTGAGCTCCGTGCCATCCTTTACATTCAGAATAGCCGACTGCATTTCCCTGGCTGGGGCTGAAACGCTAAAGGTGAAACACCGCAGCTGTCTCACCAGAGCGGTGGAGCAGGCTGGCGCAGAACAGACTCGCGAGGAGCACAGCTG